TGGATCTCACTTACGCATACGAACAAAAAACCCTGGGCGAATAAACGATCGCTCGATATAACTTTTCTCTAGTCGGCGGAAAATCCACTCGGGATACCGAACCCGTTTTTTGATTTTACGCCTTAACCTCAATGCCAGCCGAGATCCAGCAGGTTATGGACTCAGTTCTCAGTGAGTTTTCTCAAGCGAACGCATTTAACGATGGCAACCAACCAAGGGAACCTGAATCGAACCTGTTTCATTGGTCGAGAAAATTTTGCAGAAATCTTATTTCAAGAATTTGTCACTCAAAATGCCACAGTGCGACTTCGCGAAACAAGAATGTGATTGGCTTGGCCACCAATTCACGGAATCGGGAGTACAACTTTTAAAATGAAAAGCAGCGCCAATCTGAGCGGTAGCGGTTTCAAAAATGGTTACGCAAATTAAATATATTTTTTGGCGCAATACACAGTCTGCAAAAATACTTACCGGCATTGGCGAAGCTATCATCGCCGTTAAGACATTTACTAAGTATTAGTATGACATCAAATGGATGGAAGAATGCGAAGCAGTGTTTGAAAACAAAAAATTGAGAGAGGAAAACCTCGTAGAACTGAATTATTTGGCTATTTATAAGGAAATACAACTGGTTTGTGACGTAAACCATAACAGCTTTGGGGAAGTACTGGAACATGTAGGATCCATGGGCTGGCTTGCGATCTCATTTGCTTCTTGAACACAGCAAAAAATTACTCAACGAACGAATTTGAATTGTTGGCAGTAGTGTCGGGGACAGAGTACTTCCGAAACTATACCGTAGGAAGATCATTCTCAAAAAAAAAGTCATAAATCATTAAGGCTATTAAGAAACGGAAATAACAAGAAAAACAATACCCTTTTTAGAGACTAACAACATGAATAGAAGGAGTGATACTTTCGACTACGTTATAGAAAATAATCAAGACGCTAAAATCAGTTTTTTTTCGATTTTTTGCCAAGACACAACAGTGACCCACCAAAACTTATTTGACAGTTTGATAATATAATCTTAGTAGCTAAAATCAATGCGATTAGAAAGTTCCCATGTTTCCATTCAAAGTACCTTCTCCTTAGTAGATCAATTTGAGCAGGTTCAAAAACTGGTTCTGGTCTTTTTAAATGCGTCTCAGCCAATCAAAAACGAGAACGGAAAACATCCTTAATTAAACAACCATGCTCGAGACAACCCGCTCATTTACTAGAGAAAACTTCATGTCGCATACATCATTGAAACTCAAGGGACAATTAGAGTTCGCAACAACTCGTTTTGCTGATAGACGGTTCATGTTTGATAAAAACAAATTCGGAATGCTACTTACCTGTAATTGAAATAAGAACCAAGGTAAATTCGCCAAAATTGAGCCCAGAAATTGAATCTAGCGACAAAGTTACCGTCATTAATAATGATGTTGAAGCTTTTAGGCAAAGTACCCGAAGATCGAAGAAAAACTACACAGTATTGTCATTCAGTCGAAAATCCTAAGTGAATTGTTTCCTGCTGTTAAATCAAACAAAAAAAATGCGTCCTTTTTTTGTAAATTATGAAACCATTTTAAATTCTGCATCATTACATGGGTTTTTTTTGTAGAATTTTCAAATTTTTTATGTCCAGCATATCATCTGATATTAGTCTGTTAAAAGCTCGTGAAATACTGCAGAAGAACATAAATTAGTCATACCACTGACATTGCAAGTGCCGTTAAAATGTCATCGTTAAAATACAGTATACATTACTATCACTATAGGAATGTTTGAGGCAGCTTGGGACTTCTGGTACCTGTATCCGCATCGTATTCTTGCGGCGAAAGTAAGCTTTTGCCAGCAGTGCACAAATGCGAGTAAGAGCTTAAAAACAGTACTACCCAAGGGAGAGGTTGGAAAAATTTCCGAAACAAGGAAATCAATCGATTGTTTATAAATGCAACCACGAAACTAATCCTGTTTGAAGAAGTTCGTGGGAATGAGGCAAACACTGCTCTGCGTAAAGTAACTACAAAACTGAATTTGAAAACTTTGGAAGAACATCCTGAAACATTAATGCTCTTATTTAGACGGAAAAGATGCCGAGTTCGAGAACATTCAGTGTTCTCAGAATTCCATTCTGGAAACAAAGGACAGACCTGACATACGCTCCAGCCTTGAGGAAGTCGCCAATCATTCTAAATTTTGCTGAACAGATCGATACGGACCACGGGGAGCAGATCGAAGAAGGTTAAGCAAACCAAGTGGCTGCGGGCGCAGTGAACGTCTACCAGAAGACTACGAGCAAATCGCTCAAATAGTACAGGTTGCCTAAGTCTAATAAAAATGTCTCTGAGTCTAAACATATCATAAAATTAAATAGCGGGACCGTTCTGAGGAAAATCGCTGCGACGACCCAACTGAAATCGCCACCGTTAGCGAAGAAACTAAACCCGCTTTAGTAACCGAGATGTTAGCGAGCGCAGAATGGTCCACAAAGAGTATTCTAAAAGCGAAGCGACCAATGAGCAAGCAGCCACCAAGAGTGATCATCGCACACGATGAAACGGATGACTCAGATTACGACAACACAAGACCGTCAGAGAAAATTTCATTGAGATTAACGGAAGAAATAGCGGCGCAATTAGAGGCGGCAGCATATGGACACGGGACGATCTAAATGGGCGAAGACAAGAAAAAAAGAAGAAAGGAAGACAAGAAAACGACAGACAAAATCCCACACCGACGAGGATTGGTATCGAAAGATTCTTTCAAACAGGACTCATCAAGGGGAAGTTTTGGAGACGCAGAGCTCAAGATCAGAGTATTGATGAAGCACAAGACGCAGGAAGCCAGTCGACTAGGTAAGGGAAGTCCTGGTCGATTCGATCAAAAAGAAGAACCCAAGGGGCGACGAGGGAGATAAAATCGAAAGGGAGCTGAAAGTTGAAACTCTAAACTCATATCACTTGCAGAGGGTTGGTCTTTAGTCTAAAACTCAAATCGTCATTCAAAGGTTCGGTTCAAAAAGTCTTCTACTAAATTTATTTTCTGTATTTCAAATTTATTTCCATATGAAAGTGTGAGAAGCTACTTATTGGATGTCAATCATTTTACTGATTTTCGTAATCATGAGAGTTTGTTTTATCACTGTGAAGTGTTAGTACGTACCTACCTGTCAAACATTCTCTAAATCTTTCTACCCTTTTCCGACCTCTAAATCAGAGACTATGTTTACCCGACATCATACAGTTGAATCAATAGATTGAACCTCTGTTTTTTACCAATCCTTGTTACTGACTAGAACTTTATGATATCACTGAAAATTTTTGTTCACGTGCAAATTCGTTTTATGCGATGATTTGGATTTTTAAAAATCATTTTAAAAAGTTGATTTCTGTCATGAAAAAATTCTGCTGAAATATTTGAAGTGAAAATAATTTTTCTGATGTTGTTCTGGTGTAATCAGCGTTGTTACAGTTCCAGGACTAAACAATTTGGAGTTTCAGAAATATTTGTGATCTTGGGACTTCATAATGATATTGAGTTTGAAAAAACGAATTTCTATAACTGTCAGTGCATCGGAAAAGAAACTAACCTAATTGATTGCGCTTTTTAACGGCGTCAATTAGGTTAAATAAGTTTAATATAACGTTTTAGCATTGAGTTTGCAAGGTGTCAGGCTTTGTGGCGCGGAAAAATGTCGCAAAATTCTTTGATACAGGTAATCAGCTCATCAGTAGTCGAAGGCAGAATTTTTAAAACTACTTTTCAGGAATTACCGAAGGTTTTCTATCAAATTAATTTCCGTAGAAGAGGTACCCAGAGCAATGTTGCAATATGCATATAGATTAGCCTTTTAAACTTTTTGCTAGTGTGGAGGAAGCAATGTCGTGTTGGAGGACGTAAACGTCGCCCAAAAAGTTTTTCTCTGAGAACGAAAGTCTCTGCGCATTTTTTTCGTCGATTGTTCATCGGCCAACTTCTGGGTTGAGTATCCAAAATTTTGAGTTGCTCTTTGTTTTTTTTTGAAGTAAAATGTTTTCTCTTAAGATCTTGACAATACGGGTACGGCAAAGATATCATTTCTTCTCTGAAAAGTATCCAGTTCATTTTCTTGTCAAGTTTTCTTGCAAAGATAGCGAGCGTTTTCCTTTTCAAAGATTTGTGAGAACATTTTCTTTGGCTGCACAAAAAAAAACAATTTTCCCGGACGTGTCTTGAAAGGAATGAACTCTTATAGCGCATCTCTGCAGCTTGTCAGAATAAAATTCATTTTGTTTCAGCCGAAGTATATCAATTTTTCTGAAAAAAAGTAGAAGCGAAAATTATTTTTTTTTGTCAGAAAAATCTGTTCATTGAATTAAAAAATATATCGAATGCCAAAATTTTGATGAAATTGTAAAAAACGGCAAACAATATCTCCAACTAGATGCTATTGTTGACGGTGCATCCTAGCTTCTTTTCTCGATAGTTGATTCAAAATTTGTCAAGTTTCATTGCAAGATGTTTAATTTAAAACTCATCTCTCAAATATTCTGAAAACACGTTTGAAGCATGGGCGGATCTAGGATTTTCTCGAGGGGGCGTTGGATTTTCAACAAATTTTAGAAAATTTTGTCAATATTTTTTTTTAGTTCGACTAAATTGATTTTTCGAGCTCTCCTAAAGCATTAAAAAGACTCTGTTTTGTTCAAATTTTCTGCGCCGCAGGCAAAACTTAGAAAAAACAAGCCAAAAAGAAAACATTTTTAGGCACTGTTTGGAAAAATTTGAAAAAAAAAATGACGTTTTTTTTGGCGCGCGCTCCCCACCTAAAGTTAGTATATACTGGCGCCAAAGGCGCCACTAGAAAAACTTTTGGGTCCGTTCACCAAAAATGGGTATCCCAAAATAGTATAAAAGGGGGACCCTTTGGGTCGTCAGGGGGTCGAATCCCTGAAGAAGAGAGAGGCGTCCGCCCCCCTCCCCCCATAAATCCGCCCGTGGTTTGAAGCAGTGTTTTTGTGATGTTTTAGCTGCGTGTTAGAAGTAAGTGTGATCGAGCAATCTAAAGCGATCTCTCGCAAAATCAGCCAATTTGTGAAGAAACACGATGGGTTGATAGATCAAACAAAGATATCGAAACTGAATGGCAAATTGGCTCCTTGCTTCAAGTTGACGCCCGATGATCTGGATCCGAAAAGAGACCTGATGTATCCGTGTGACAGGTATGCATTTTTCGGCATAACATATTGCAGACTGTAATCTGTTCTTCTTTGCTTGTGATACATGCAGCAAGCAATAGCTCCGATTAAAAAAATGGCGGTTTTTACAAAGATTTCAAAATGGCCAACACGCTTTCAACCAAGCGATAATATTGTCATACGGTCAGTCCATTTTGTTCCAACCAAAGCTTATGGCAAAATTAATCGATGTCATTGTGCTCGAGGGTTAGTTTTGATACTTTTTTAAAAGTGATTGACGCTATGAACTCAAAACTGAAGATATTGAACCTGCGGTCATTGTTTGTAAAATTCAGAGGTGTTGAAATGGCCGGTTTTTTAATTTTCTGGACCCATTTTTTCCACTCATCTATGATGCTTAACGCGTAAGTGCGTTTTATTTGAGCTCGATGAATCATTCCAAATTGTTAAGCGCCCAAAATTTCTATTAAAGTTGAACGGAGTCAAGCTGATTGGTCCCAATAACATGTTTACTAGACTCAAATTGTATTTTTCAGTACTGATTGACTTTCGAAGAACGGGTATTTTTTCTCTGGATAAAATTCGATTTTCAAGCTATTTGCGACGCAACTTTAACTTAAAATCTAAAAGATTCTGATTAAATTTTTGAAGTTACAAGGATTTCAATTTACGACTATTTTGACGACTAGAATTGAAATTGGCATTATTAACGCGCGATATATATTCAAACGTAAGCGAAAACTTGAATCATTTGAAATTGAGCTGAGCCAGGCAGTTTGAGCTTATTTATACGTTACCACTCACAGTATGTATCACTTAAAAACAGGGGGACCGAATTAAAAAATGAAAATTTCTTGGAAATTTTTTTCCACGATCTTATTTTTAAATTTAATTCACGTTAGAGGACAGTCGAAATATTCACGACTTGCCTTTGCTATGATCAGTCTTGTTGCTGCAGTTTTTGAAGTGCTCGATGTGAGTTTTTTAAGACATTTTCGACCTTTTACTCAGCCACTTTTGAACCTTGATTTGAAGTCATTATCTTTGTTTCACCTTTCGAAATCACATCTTTGCTTGTTAACTCTTACTGTATCAATTATCTCTGCAATTCACCATTATTCAGTGCCGGAATCAGCAACTTATTCTCTCTGGACAAACTTTCATTAGAAACCACACAACAACGTCGCAAATAGAACCACATAGTTATGCATGCAGTAAAAAGCCTTGTCAAACATCTCTGATAATTTTCAACGATGAGATCGCACAGAGAAATGGGAGGCATAAACACTAGATTTTTCTTTAAGAGCTTAAAATCAAAAAATAGATAAAATTTTGAGAACACGAGCATGTACTAAATTTGTCGTTTAATCATTTTAAACTAGCACATTTGTTTTCAAAATCATGGCAGTTAGGCGTACGTTTCAGATTTGTTGCGGAATCCGCAGAATTTCTAATTTTTTTGATCTTCTTTGCTGTTTTGGATTCCACACACAAATACTCAAAACACTGTACCGCTCAAAATTGCTCCAAAATAAGCAAATTTGCGGAATCCGCAACTGTAAGTGAGGAAAGCAGAACAGTTTGTAGAGTCGATAAACAAACAACAAGACATGTGTATAGTTACATTAGGCTGTTGCGGAATCCGCAACTGTAAGCAGTTTCCGCAAACTGTAAGTGGAATCCGCAATTTGTAAGTGGAGTCCGCAAATTGTAAGTGGAATCCGCATTTTATTTGCGGATTCCGCTTATATTTACGGATTCCATTTTATTTTGTGCATTTCACGTACAATTTGTGGAATCCACATACAATTTGGCCTCGTACTGATCTGCTTTTATAAATCAGCAAGAACAGTTCAACGGCAAAAAATTATTCGATGGCAAAAGGTATGGTTTGCGCTCAACCGCTGACTTTCAATAAAATTTTTCAGTTCATGCAAAAAGAGTAGAGCATGACCGAGAACAAAATTGCTAGAGTTTAAGCAGGATATGGTGCTGTTTTAATTGCAAATTATGAACAAAAATCCAATCTGGATTGATTTAATTTCTCAAAAATTACCAAAACAATAACACTCCAAAGCAACTTGAAGGATTATCTTATAAATTTGATTTGAGGTCGAGTGTTATAGTTTGCTTTGTTGGTTTTAAAATACAAATCGTTGCTCGATTTTTTTGTTTGAGATAGTCGAGTCCATTGCTAAGTAGAACTTCAATTCCTTTTTAAATACATAAAAAAAGAGTTGAAAAATTGAAAACAGATGTGCGCCCCATCTCCTTCAACCATTAAAATAATTTGGACTATAAAGTTTTTTTCGTATTCATAAGCAAACCAAAAAATTGCTTTAAATCAGTTTCAAGTGATTAATTTTTTTCAGCACAAGTTTGTATGATTTTTTGCCGCGATTTAGCCAAAACAATCGGTGACTGTTCTTGAGACAAACTGTCTTTTTTACGGTCAGCATTAATCAAGGTTGAACCAAATTAAAGCAGAAAAAAAAGGCTAAGAACGATCAAATGGGGCACCAGCATCTTTTGCTTACATGTATATACGTCAAAACTTGGGGGTCTTGAACCCGCGAAAAACCGGCCTGATCGCTCTAGGGGTACGCTTGTCTGTAGAAATTTTGTCCTAGCTTAATTTGGGTCCAATAAATAACCACTCTTGTTTTTTTTACATTACATTCAAACATCCTTCGCTCCCAAAAGCGGAACGAAGGCAGCTAGCTTTACGGTCGTACGGTTCAATTCCTTCGTGACAGTTTTTCTGTTGGCACGTCGCGCATATATATCTTTGCCATAGTGTAATTTGACTATACGGATGAATCCGTAATACGCATGCAGACTGTCAGCTTCAACAACCCAGAACATATATCCAAAGTGACATTCCAAAATTTGGTCCCTAAATCTCCTCGGTCATTCTCCTTTTGCCTAGGATATCATTTTGAAATCGATTATTTCTGTCCTTCCTTTATTCTGTTTGCTTCATTTCTTAATGTTTTGTTTGCTTCATAAGTTTGGTTCGTTCCTCAAGGCAAGCTATAAGTTCTGTCTGAGCATCCACGAACTTTTGTGCACCCACGAAAAAACAGTTCAGTGATAGCCGCGCTTTGCAATATAGGGCTCGAAGACCACAACGTACGGGCTGAGTGAGATTTGGGACCTTCGATGTGTACAGCTCTAGTCTTAAAAGAAGTACATAAAAAATCCCATATTTTCTCATTTCTTCTGCTTACTGGAACTAGGAATAGGCCGATGTAGTCAACACCCGTTTTACAAAGGGGCTTGCTTGAAGCCCGTTTTTTCAACCAACAGATCAGACATAATTGGGCGGACGGTTTTGGCTTTCCGCTTTCGGAGAAACCAACGTAACTTCAAAAGAAACCAACGAAGTTCAAATTTATTATCGAGGGCTCATAAGGCAGAAATAAGGCAGAAATAAGGCAGAAATACTTAATTGCCGGTTTCTCATCATCATCCGAACCAAACAGTGTCAAGCCTCTTGTATTTTTGGCTGCCTACTATCACAATCGGTATCAACCAGACGACTGATGCTGCGATGACAGTAGTTGCAACAATAATTTTTATCTTACCTTTCAGTTCAATCTATCGCAAATGCCGAAAAGAAGTTTTTAAGTCAAATCTTAGGTAATCAACGTAAATGCTTTCTCAATGCAAGTGTCTATATCAAAGGAGTAGTTTTTTGTCGGAGTTAACTGATAACGAAATGTGCTCGGCATAAAGGGCCAGTAACGCAGCTCCTCTCCTTGAATGCTTCCGAAGACATGGTTCGTGTACCAGCTACTTTATGATGCCCTTTATCTTTGGTATTTGACTCTAGAATCTCCCCGGTGCGGTTGCCAACAAAAATTTTATTACCTCTGGGAGAGCATCGTCCCCTATCTGACCCATGATTCGCCAAAGGTCACTAAATAGCAGATGAGTGCGCACGGTAAATGACATCGGACCAAAAACTGAGAGTACAGAACTCAGGACAGTACACTGGATTATTGCTTTTTCTAGTGGTTAATTATCACCTCAACTGACTACAGCGCTAAAATTTCCATAATCCATTTTAGACTGAGGAGATGCAATGACTGGTGTGTATCCAACAAAATAAAATATTCACCAAAATTTTGCACTCAAATATTTCCGGTTTTAGCGCTTCCTATCAGAACGTCATTGTGGAAAAAGTATGCAAATTAAAACAACCTGGTTCAGTAGTGAGAATAAAACTTTGCTTAAGTTCAATGCATCTTCACTGTTTTTGAAATAGTTCGGTAATCATACAGGTAGAACTTGTGGACGACAGCTGAATCATTTGTCTTGAAGATCAGTGCAGTTTTTTGTAATGAAAAGTTCGAACATGTAGTCGAATCAGCAGCGTCAAAAATGTGATGCGTGTTTTGTTAAGGGACTACAATTGAGTTCTCCCGCCACGCACATAAAAAGGAGAGAGGGTTGATCTCGCTCGAGGATTCAAATCTGCAAGAACGTTCTTTCAGTATCGGCTGAAACGTCAGTGTAAGAGTACAAAATTAGGATTTTACAGATAACCCGAATGAAGTAAGGGAATTCTCGGGTAAATCCGGGTTAACTTTGATGCTTCACTGAGGACACGGCACATCACCGGATGATGCGTGAACTACCATTCACAGTGTGCTCGTGCAGTGAGATCATGTGGGCGCAAAACTTCACAGTTCCGTTCTCCTTGCCATCTCTAACAGTTTTTGTTCAATTTGTTTTTGTGGAGCGACGGATTTTTTTTTCAATTTTTCTAACGATTCGAAAAGTGCCAATGAAAAAAATATTTGGCAAGCTCTTTTCAGTTTCACTGCTAAGCATTTTCTTGATTCATCTTTCACCATTGTGAATTTTTTTTTCCATTGTTGATGAAGCTTTTTTGTCAGCGGTGGAAACCGTGTCTTCCTTTTGGGTAAGCTCTATACGACTCCAACTCATACCATGTTCTAGTTTGAGTAATTCGAGAAGTATTTTCAACAATACATTAAAGTACGATCAAATTGTGC